ATTGGGTACGTAGTAAATGAATTGTTTAAATTGATTTTAAAAGTTCAAAATTAATCTACCAATTTCTAAAAACAATAAATAGGAAAAACAAAAAGTAAGTTGGGCTCACATAAAAGTAGATATAATGAAAGACACCTAAAAACATTAAATTAATGTTGAAAGAGACATAATGGACATTTGTCAAACACTAAACTTTATCGTGCCCAAACTTTATTTGTCTATATTGTCAAAGCCAAAAATGCTTTGCATAGTTTTATGTAAACATGGTTGAAAAAACCATGGTCTTTTTTATCAATTATGAAATGATTATTTGTAGTCTAGTTTGTACTAGATTATAGTCCGCGTTAAACGCGAGAAACGCATAAAAAACATATAATCGTTTATAGATATTGTATAATAATTATAATATATATATATATATATATATATATATATATATATATATATATATATATATATATATATGGTTATTGGTATTATTGAAATGTGTAGAAAATACATTGAAAACGATAAATATATAATCATTGAAAGATCTCTTTGTAGACATCATTTTTTGTTTTATTAGTTGAACGACTTTCCTCGTCTTATATAGTTATGATATTTATATATTTATAAGCATTTTAATTAGACGTTCCTTGCATAATAATGTTACCTAATTTAAACATATATTGACAATCAATATAATGTTTTTTCTATTGCATTAAATATTAACAACTATTTCATTTATTCAAATAAAGTTATGTAATATAATTTATAAACTATTAAATGTTATATAGATTTAATTTTAGTATATCATCAATGGAGATTCTTTTCTAAATCATGATTGATTTATTTTAAATTGATTATAAATATAAATGCTAGCTTTTATGTTTGTTCTTATTTATTTAGTGTTCGCAAAAACTTTGCATTAGTTTTGGCGCAACTTTGAATAATTTTAGTATATCATCAATTTAATTTGATATATTTGTCAATTATATGAAATATCAAATAATAAAATTTCATTACTATTGTGATAATTTAGTTTATATATTGTATTTTCACTAATCTTAACGGTCTTATTTTTTCTAATAACCGTAACGCTTTTACTAAATGTACTTTTTACAAATCTCCTAATATCTTATAATTTTAATCTTACTTTATAATTTTTCATAACTATGTTATTTTCAAGATTGATTGCTTTAATAGTGTTTTTTTTTCAGTCTATTCAATTTTATATTTCATTGTACAACATCATCGTTTGTATGTATTCTGAAATTTCACTTTAAAAATGCTTAATGTTTACACCTTGATATTAATTTTTTTAATAAACTCATGTAATAATTATGGAATGTATATCTCATTTTAATTAACATTCACTTCCTTTATTATATCAAATTCCTCATTAAACGGATATACTTTTGGAAAATAATAATGATAATAGGACAGCATTATCTAAAACGTAAATGTTTGATATATTTTTGGAGAAAAAAAATCAGGATCATTAAAAAAAATTATATAAAGAAAATACAAATTTAAATTTGTTGAAATTATGGATGAAATTACTGGTGAAAATTTATTTTGGAAGGAGTTGTATTTTGTAAGGTATAATAATATTACAAAATTTGAAATATCTATATTTGTTGTGCAAATTAATAAATTTTATTGTTACTATACGAAGATAAAAAAGTAGGTTGATATGATATACAAAAACATAATAATTTCAATGATATTTTAAAATCATGCCAAAATTAACCGGATTCTTATGACATAAAAATTAAAAAAAAATCATAATCATCTCTAATATATAAAAGTAATATTTTCGTAATTAATGTCAGTTCCCAAGATAGTTAATTTTTGTTTTGTTAAAGGTACCTAATACCTTTTCATGTTTTTTTGAAAAGTTTTAGAAAAGTAGTTAATTGATTTCATGTAATTTGTAACAAAGAAAATCGAAATATATGAATATATACATATGATATAGGAACAAAAAATGATCGAAAAAAATATAAAAAACGAAAGAAGGTACTGACCTTCTAGCGCACAAGAGCGAATGTTGATAGCAGGGAATGATGATGAAAGTTATAAAAAATATTAACGATGTTGTAGGAGAAAGTTTGAAGAAAAGAAACGATTGAAAATAAATGTGAGTCGCGGATTCAATGATGAATCGTATATGTATGTGATAATTTGAATATGATTTTTCGGTATTAATGATTTCCTAATAAAAAAGATTTTATATTACTGGTTTACTAATATAAACGAATTTATATTAATGGTTGATATTAATGCCTTGATTGAAATGATTTGTTAGTAATATATTTTTAAAATTGATCATATTAAAATCTTAATAACTGAAAATTCAATATGTAAAATATGGAAAGCTTTTATTGGAATTAAATACATTCCATTTTAACGAATGTAAGTTATTGATTGATGACTGGAAAGCATTTATTAGAATTAAATACATTCCATATGGGAAAGATGATGTCAGCAGTTTGATCTAAAGGTGAAAAAAATAAGATTTAAATACAATTAATGATCCAGATTATTTAAGATGATGTCATAAAGTTTCTCTTTTAGTAATATTTAAGATTCATGGAGCTGTATTTTCAGTACGATTTCATATCAAGATATAATTTTTTATTAAAAAACTAGTAAAGATAATACAATATAAAATTTGAAACGTGAAGAAAATGAAAATAGATTGTTACATATAGGTGGGAAGCTCAACCTCTCGGTGGATTCATAAATGTGGATATTTGAATGCATAGTAAGCTTGTTAAGTGGCAAAAGAACTCTCCATGTGTGCACCCATCCCGAAAACTAGTTTTTTTTTTTTTTTTTTTTTTTTTTTTTAATAAAAGACATACTATTTTAAGACCGAAGCCTGTTATATGTATTATTTTTTTAGACATATCACATTAGTTTATTTATTTATTTATTTTTTGTATAGGTCTATTTTTTTATTTTTTTTTGAGATGCACACTATAATGCAACATTCTTAATAAATAGAAATATTAAGAAATAAAAAAGCGACATGTTTTATATGGTAAGTCTTTTTCACGTAGCAATAATTGCCATAAACAGAACAACAATGTAAAACAACAGTTACACCACGTGTGATAATAGTTGTACATTGTCCTAGGATTTTACCACCTTGGATTTAATGAAGTACAACATTCATTTACTTGGCTTATATTTGTCATGGTCTATATAGTTCTCACATCACATTTTGCACATTTTTACCGAAAGTTGTCATTTGGCAATCACATGTTACCATACTTGTTATGCTATTATTTATTATTATTATTATTATGTAATATACAAAATAAATCTTTCATTTCAAACATAACAATTTTTAAAAAACTAAAAAATCATTAAACTTAAAATAAAAACATAGAAATTCAAAATAACAACAAACACACCAAAAAAATAGAATTTAAAATTAAAAACATACAAACTAAAATTACCAAACCTAGATAGACCTAAAGAACATCTTCATCGGCAAATTGACCTTTCAAATCGTCCATCGGTTTCGTGTTAAGATCGAAGTGGTTGACGTTCCAAATATGTTTTGTTAAGTCTCTATGGAGATATGATGCGTCTCAACATCATTAACTAGTGCCCTCCTCGACATGTACTCCACGCTTCCAACCTCAAAAGCTTGTGCCGATGGAGCGATCTTGTTTTCGTTATCCTCGCATATTGCATTTCCTTCGTCTTTGAGAATCATATTATGCCATATGATACAAGTATATATCACCTTGCTCATTTTCTTCTCCTCCATATACGACGAAGATATTTAAGAATATGCCAATGTTTTTTCAAAGCTCCAAATGCTCGTTCAACATCCTTTCTCGTCCGTTCTTGAGCTCTCTTAAACTCTAACATTTTTCAATCATTTGGACAAGACAATGACTTCACAAAACAAGCATGCTCCGGATAGATCCCATCCACCAGATAATACTCGTTCCTATACGATGTTCCAGCTACTTGAAAAAAGGAGTCTCGTACAGTCCCGTTGTACATGTCGTCAAGTAACGGGAACATGTTAAGAACATTGATGTCATTAAGGGAGTCAGCTGAGCCAAAGAGTGCATGTCATATCCACATATCATGTGATGCCACCGCTTCAAGTATAACAGTTGGATAACTATGATCGTCTCGGGTGTATTGCTCTTTATGGGCATTCGGACAACAACCCCATGTCCAGTGAAGGCAATCTAGGCTTCCTAGCATTCCAGGAAAGTCGTGCACGTTTAAGTGATGAACATGCAATTGTTGGATGTCACTACAAGTAGGTTTGCACAAATATTGTGGACCATATAATCTCATGACATACTTGCAAAATTTGTGAAGGCTAGTTCGTGCAACACGTCGGGACATCCTAAGGTTCTCCTCTAGTGTATCGGGGCAATGGCATATGTTAATTGACGAAGTGCAGCAGTGCATTTTTGTATAGGAGTAAAACCAATTGTACTTCTAGCATCTCAACATTGTTGAAAAAATGAACACATTGTCGTGACGTCGCTGACTATATAAAAAAACAAAGATTTATGCATACGGAATCGACGACGAAAATAATATTCTATAAAGTTGGCGTTATCCACAAAGTACTCTTGCATGAGTCAATCATTAGCCGCCTCATGAAATCTTTGTATGTATATTCTCTTCCTCTGGCGTGCATTCTCCATATTTTCTTGTAGTCATTCGATAATTTGTTCCGCCTCCTGAATAACCTCTATAATCCTTTCAAGCAAGGCATCAAACATGCCCGATGAAGATGACGAATAAGACCTTTTGAGAGAGTGTATTTGAGTTGTAAGTTGATGTTGAGTTAAAATGGGTTGAAGTTGTAATATTTATAAGAAAAGAAAAAAATAAATGGAAATAGCCGTTGCCAGCTACCCCATCTTCCCGTTGGTCAACAATACTCGGCATATATTAACCTTGATGTCGAGCCAAGCTCAGCAAGCCAAGGGGTCGGCCCGGTGCGCATCAAGGCTGCCAAGCCCACACCCACCATCCTTAATGAAGTACAATATTCATGTAATTAATCCTTTCTTGAAAGTTTATATAAGATTTACATAATCAAAAATCGAATAACCCATTCTAATGATATACATAACCAAGAAATACAAGTAGCCATAATACTAAAAACTCCATTATTGTAACTTAAAAGCCAACACATTCAAATCACCCTTAAGAGGATTGGTACAAAAATATAGCATAAGTTCTCCATATGTTAGTTCCTTTTACTTGAGCAAGACCACCAAACCACAAGGTAACATGTACCTCATGCATCAAAAGTTGTACAACACCCTCAATCCAACAATCACGTCAAAAGGGCAAAGCCTTTTTCAAAGCTAAACTACAGCAGCATTCATATTAACATAAGTAAAAAAAAAATCTAGAGTTTTTATGTGCCTCATTTACAACCAATGTCCACTAAGACACTTCCATTGTACCTATTCGCCCTATTACCACATAATCTTTTTTGTTTCATCTATTTGATAATTAGGGCTTACATACACTTCACTCAAAGATCAAGCATCTGTTGAGTCAAATGAAGATCTTAATGGTGACTCATTGTGAGTTCTTGGTTTTTTTGGCAGCAAAAATCTGACGAAGAAAAGAAAACTTGCGTCTTGAGCGTGCCGAAAGCTCGCCATTACTTGCTGCCGCCGCCGCCACGTCATCAGCGGCATCACATTCTTCCGGTGACGCGGCGGATGGTGGTTGTGGGAGGGTGAAGAGAAACGTGTTGAGCATTCGTATGATTTGGTCAAAACTTGGTCTTAGATTTGGATCTTCAACCCAACATGCTTGTATGATGAACGCAAGTTCAGGTGATATGTCATCCGTAAGATTCGGCCTTTCTTGCTGTTTCAAAAAAAAAAAAAAAGTTAGAAATCAATTCTTAACTGAACAGAACAAGTTGTACTGTATTTGATATGCACTAAATAGAACAAGTTGTACTGTATTTGATATGCACAGAACAGAACAAGTTTTACTATATTTGATATGCATCACAGAACATGTTGTACTGTATTTAACATGCACTGGACTAAGACTGATGTGAAGAGGACAAAATTGCAGTCTTTTGTCCCATTCAAAAAGATGGGATAGGGACAAGGACAGGGTGATCATTATCTGTGCAAAAGACGTAAATGCCCACGTCATTGAAATAGTCAGATAGAAAGAAAGACCTTAAAAGCAGCAGCATAAGCAGCTTGCAAATTTGACATGCCTTCAAATGGCATTCGGTTTGTGACTAATTCCCACAACACAATTCCAAAGCTGTAAACATCAACTTTATTATTGTAATGCTTCTTCTCCCCTTGACGCAATGTCACTGTGCTATACAACTGCAAATTTCACAATTTCAGTTTTCCTTTTTATTTATCGTTTCAGCTACAATTTAATCATTGGAAAGTAAACAAACACAAATAATAACAATAGTAATAATCAACCACGCTTCAATCTTTTCACAACAGTAGAATAGTACTATTCAATAAAACTGTTTCACTAAACCTGTCATGTGACATGTCCACATCAGCACCACATCAACAATAATAAATAAATAAATAAATAAATAAATAAAATTACCTCAGGTGCCATCCAACGGTAAGTACCAGTCTCTGCTGTCATCATTTCAGTAACCGTTTCTTCTCTTGCAAGACCAAAATCTGCAAGCTTCACAGACTTCTGATTTGCAGTTAACAGCAAATTGTCTGGAAATAAGTCACAAGTCACAATGTTGATATGTTTTGAATATAACTCTTTTTTGGAATAATAATAATTAAAAAAAAAAAAAAAAAAATACCGGGTTTTAAATCTCTGTGTATAATCCCATTAGCATGCAAACAATCCATGGCTCGAGCAATATCAAGAGCAAAACTCAAAGCCAAACGAAGGTCTAATTGATTTGGACGGATGCTTCCCAAATATTTTCTAAGTGACATTCCGGGTAACAACTCAGAGACAATCACCATTAAAGGTTCCTTACAAGCTCCGATAAACTGCAAAAACGAAAAAAAAAAAAAAAAAAGTTAAATTAAATAATAAATCTATCGAGTTCAAACCTTGTAATAAGCGAATATAGTTGTATACTTTAACTAGGTTGTCGTGTTTCACTCTTGACATCATAGTAACTTCACGTGCAAAACGGCCTTCAAGTGCAGCTCGTTCTTCTGTGTTACTCCCACGGTTGAGAACCTTTATAGCCACAATTCGATCACCATACCTATAAAATTTAAATGTTAAAAACACGTTTTAGAAAATCAACTAAAAGGATTCGAAGTCATTTGTTCTGAATTTTAGAATGTTTGAAGAATAAATTAAAAAGTATATCTAGGAAAAGGAGTAAAGGACGATTGTTACATGTTGGCGGAATGACTTCAAAACAGGGTAAACGCATGCTAAGTTACTACAAGATTTGTTTCAAATGAAATTGTCTTAAAGCTTTATGTCAACTTCAAAATACGCATTTGGGATTCAACTTAATCTTGGATTTTGCACCCAAAATGAGGATTTTTTTTTTTTTTTTATAAACAAGCGAAATTATCATGACAATTGAAATGTAAATGGTAATGATATAAGTAGATAAGTTGTTTACCTTCCTTCGTAAACCTTTCCATGGGCTCCTTCTCCAATTTTGGCTCCAATGAATAAGAGCTTTGGATCAACAAGCACCCTTTCATCAATCGTGCAATCTGAATTTGTAATTGACCCATTTGAACAAACTGATTTTGAGCAACCTGATCCCGATTTAACAGTTCCGGATTTATTATTGCTGTTATGATTACTATTACTACTATCGAATGACCCTTCTTCTTTAGATTTCTTGATGTTGTTCTTCTCACTGTTACTCATACTGCAATTTCAGATTATCCCCCTGTTCCTCATCTTAACCTTCAAAAACCCCCTTCAAGAATCTCACATAGATAAAACACCATCATCCAAAAACTTATCGTTTAAAACCCTCGATTAGATTCTTCATCGTTTAGAGGAGGTTAGAAGAGATAAAGATTTGATCTTTTTTTCGCAAACACCACACATACGAGCAATAAAACAGTGTGATGACTGAAAAGATCGTAGCTTTTTCACCTAAAATAAAATAAAATGGAAAGGTACCAATAACCCAGATGGATTGATTGAAGAAATCATCCAAATAACAAATACCCAGATGGAAATTCGACTTTGAATCCCTGAAAAATTATAAAAGATTGTTAGAGAGAGAGGAAGAGCATCAAAGATAAAACTTACAGAAGCATCCAAGAGAATATGCTCATGTGTTTGTTTGTGCGTAGATTAAAGACAATATTCGCATCGAAAGGAACACATACAAGCAACAACAACGAAGATGACGACGAAGCTGGATAAACCCTAAATTTTTTTATTTCAAAGAAATCGTCTTGACCGGTGGGTATTGCTCTAAATTTCTTCTTTCTTTGGTTTCTCTTTTAGAAAATAAAAAGGAGAGGTGTGTTTTCTATCTCTGGAGATGGCGTTCCGGTGAAGTCGTGAAGATATTCTTGTTTTTCCGATGTCAGAGGTGAGAAAAAGGCAAGAGTTAGTAGTAAGGCATGTATTGTGCACTACACAAACACGTAGCGAGTGTGGAAATGTGTGTGAGAGAAGGTAAAGGAAGGTACTTGTCAGATTGATAGACCAATGATCGATTGACGCGTGGATAGCAGAAGAAGCATCAGCCGTGTTGGACATGGATGCTTCGGCGGAGAACCGAACGAGTACGGCCGAGCACCCACCCACCCACCCACCTCACTCGACTGCTAATCTGCTATCTACTTTTCCATTAAAACGTAAAAAAAATATTTAAAAAAATGGCAATAAAGAAGAAAATAATAACTTTATTTATTTTGTACAAGTTGATGTTTTAAATATTTATGCACAATTTGTTGACATCCCATAAATTATTCATTTCAAGAAAGTGGATTAAACTGTATATTTGGTCTATTTGTTTGTCAAAAAAATGAAAAATTGATTTATTTCATAAACTTCTAATGTTATATAGATTTTTTTATAAGCATGTTTAGTTATGGTTTGGTTTCTTTCCAAACTCGACTAATATATATAAACTAGGTTATAATGTACAGTATTTTTTAAATTATTATCAAGAAAAAAAAATATATCATAAAAATATAGCGTACTTTTGATTGTAAGTAACTATGAATTAATTTTTTTAAATAAAATAAACATAATACTTTAACATAGATTTTGAAATACTTCTTTGTATACAATATTAAAAGTTTTATTGGTTAAATTATCATCCTTATCTAAAATCAAGAACTTCAATAATTCTTTGTTCTTTACTTTAGATAAAACAACATATAATTGACCGTGTATGAAAACTCGTTCTCGTAAAAACAACTTGTTCTTGACTTTTACTTATAGTCACAACAAAACAAACCATCAGGGGAAATTGTCTCCTAGTGTGTGCTATTAGGGATGTTGTGATGATCCTCTGAGACAAAAACGGGTAGGTGTGGAAGGTATTATGGGCACGTACTACCGGAAGCACAAGACCTATACGCATAACAAGGAAGTCACAACCCCTAGGGTTTCTTTTATTAGAATGGTTTGCGTGGGATGAAATGTGTCTTGTCTGATATATTCTGGTTTATTTTCAGTATGGTGTTCACGAGGGCATCAGGTTCAGGAGCCGGAGCAGGCAGCCAGAATAGACCAGGGTTGACCGACGATCAGATTCGGGAGATGATTTTTGCTGAGGTGGTTACTGCTGTCTAGGGATCAATTTTGGAGTTGTTTCGGTCTATCAAGACCGCCATTATTGAGCGTTTTGATGATCGTTACGATGCACTTTCTGAGGCTGTTATAGCTACAGCTACCACGGATATGACAGTCGTTTAGGTCCGTGGAGAGAAAGCCTTCGAGTATCGAGACTTCGATAATACGAATCATTCATTGTTCGATGGAGTTCATGATCTAATCAATGCGATGAAGTGGTTATCCGATGTTAAGGGGTGTTTCTTTACATGCTCCTGCCCTGCTGACCAGAACGTCAAGTATGCCCTGAACCTTCTCCGGTCAGGGGAGAAGGATTGGTGGAGATTGGTGACTGGCTCATACACTGCTGAGCAGAGGGCTGATATGACTTGGGAGAAGTTCTTTAAGATTTGAGGTATGTTTCCTTGGTTGAGAGGGAGAAATTGGCCCATGAGTATCTGGATCTGAGACAGGGGACTTAAACGGTGACTAAGATCACCAAGATGTTTACAAAGAGGGTTCTTTTTTGTCATGAGTTTGCTTCTTCTGATCAAGCTCAGATGACTCGGTACTTGAGCATACTCAAGACGGACACTTGCTAGTTCGTGTCCACTCAACGTTATGGTACACTTGTGGAGATTCAGGAGGCCGCGAGGAGGTGGGAGATTGAGATGGAGCTCCAGGCGAAAGAGATAAGGCAGGCTACAGTGTAGACACAACCTGCGGCGAAGCAGCTCAAGGCCACTAATTTGAGATCTGGGGGTTAGAGGGGCCACACTTTTGGTAATGGCAGCGATGTTCATGATGGTGCTTTCTGGTCGTCTTTTGGATTCCATAAATGTGGAAAGGAGGGGCATTATGCTAAGGACTGTCGCCGACAAGTCCTTGTACCGAGCACCAGGATATGTTATCACTGTGAGCAGGTTGGCCATATTAAGGTCAATTGTCCCTTGCTTGATGTTGGACCGGTGCAGGCTCCAACACCAGACATATTGAGGATCACAGATGGGCGTTAGGGTAGGCCGTCGCCTCTGAGGGCCCAAGGTCGTGCTTTCCAGCTCACAGTTGAGGAGGCTAAGGCGGCGTCATACGTCGTTACTGGTATGTTCCCATTTATTATACTGTCAATTATTTTATGGTGTGCTTATGTTTATGGTTCTGATAGGTACCTTCTTAGTGAATTCAAATGGGCAATCTAGGTTAAAACTACAGTGGTATAAGCGGAAAACAATCAAAACAATTCAATTGATTAGGGTACATGCAACCTGGTTTGATATATGTCTTTCACATATAGCAACATACTCTGAACACTAGAATACAAAATCTTTCCTATGAATAAACTAATTCATAGGACAAGAAAACTAACCTTTAGATTGTTATTGTAAACAATCTTGAATTCTTCTTCTTCAAAACTTTGGTAGCTAGCACCATAAGCGTTGTGCCTTTGATGATTCGCACCCAAGACTAGCAACTAAGTATTATGGAGAGGGAGGAGGAGAACTTTAACCATAACTCTTATAGTCTTAGGAGTATCGAATTTGTGAAGCCTATGGCTCTTTATATAGGTGGGGTATCTTAGAGCCAAAGCTAGGGTTTAAGGAGGAAACCCTAATCCCTTTGTTTGGTGATCAAGCAGCCCATGAGCCTTTATCTAAGAGCCCTTGGACGAAATCTAGGCCCTCCCTAGAAGATTTTATCGAACCTCTTTCAAAGAAGTTCTAGAACCTTTTTCTCAACTATCAATAAATTACCAAACAGCCCCTGCACTATAGATTAATCCAATTAATTTCTGATTAATTTCTGACTAATTATTAAGCAAATATCATAATTTCTAATTAATATATTATTCTCGTAATATATTAACAAATTATATATTTCAATTTATTAATCAAGTAATAAATTATTCTCTCTCTCTCTCTCTCTCTCTCTCTCCAAAATAATCTTGTCCAATTGCTAGCTTTAAGGGCAACCAAAAGGACCATGCTACTATCAATTCAAGTTTATACCAATTATAGTTATATGCTTAGACACCTAATCCAACAGTCTCCTACTTGGATAAGTCTAATAATTATAACTACTATATAATCTTCCAAATTGATTCGAAATTGTACCTACCAAAAGCCATTATCGAACTTTGAGCCAGTCAGTAACATTGTTGGATTAGGTGTCTAAGCCCATAACTATAATTGATATGTACTTGAATTGATATTAGCAATGTCCTTTTGGGTTGCCTTCAAACCTGGCAATTAAATAGGATTACTGTTGGAGAGAGAAGAATGATTTATTAATTTATTACTTGGTTAATAAATTAACTTGAAATTAAGATAAATGATTTATTAATGTATTATGGATATAAAATATTAATTAGAAATCATATTGTTTAATTAATATTTAATCAGAAATTAATTTGGAATTAATTTTAGGATTACAAGAATTAATTGAAACTGCAGGGACTAAAGATGACAATGTTCAAAAGTTGAGCCTTCAACATTCTAGAACCTCCCTTAGAGGTGGGGAACGAAATCTAGAGTGTCCTAGGGTTTCATTGGTCTCTAAGGGTGCCTTGAAAACCTTAGGGAGGAAGTTAAGGGATTAGGGTTATCTATCTAAGATACACCTGCCTTATCCTAAACCTTCATTATCACCTATATAAACCCCTATAGGGTTGGATTTCGTCCCATGCACTCCAAGATAGGCTTAGAGCCAAAATTTCACTTCTCTTATCTCTCTCCATAGTAATCCTTGGTTGCTATGTTTGTTTGTGAGTCATTAGAGACGCGACACTTGTGGCGCTTGCTACCAAAGTTCAAGATCTTCAAGAATTTGATTGTTATTACAATATAACAATAAAGGTATGTATCCTAACCCTAATTATATGCTAATTTCGAAAATTACATATGCCTCCTATGGTTTCTAGTTTTTGTGTTCAATGCTTGTATGGCTAATAGTGAAAACAAAGATACTCAAATTAGGGTTGTATGCACACATATGATTGTTTACTAGGTATAAAACCCAACAGTGGTATCAGAGCTTTTTGTTGTTGTTTTCAATTAGATTTGAAACAAAATGTATGAATTTGACAAATTAGGGTTTATGGCAAATAAATCCTAGGGCTTGGATTTTTTAAATTAGGGTTTCAAAACCCTAATTTTCGAAATTTGTTAAGGTTTCTTGAACACTTTTCCTTTGGCCCCATATTTTAAATTTGATTAAAAACCCTACTATTTTAAAATGTTTAAAATACACCCTTATACTATATAAAATTAAAAGTCTAATATTATATATGTATGAGTAAAGAGTAAGTTTTACCATTAGTAGGCCTGATTCACGATATTGGTCTATAAGGGGTGTTTAAGGAAGTGGCCTGTAAAATGACCGTCATTGGGTATCCTCTGACATCCCCATTTTCACGGCCAGAAAAGACCGATTTTGTTTATGCTTTATAAAAATCAGAGTATCTCTTTTAATCAAAATGTTACGGAATTTGTTCCCAGTAAAACATGATAAATACGTTATCAAAACATTTCCGAAGAACAGTATTTTTATTCATTTTAAAACATTTAAGATGTCATTGTCAGTACAAAAACATAAGCATAAACAGAACTTACATTCATTATCACTAGTGATCTATATCTCCTTAATCTCTAAGTGTAATGTGACTTCATATCAAAACCTGTGATATAAATAAACTGAGTGGGTCAGGTTAGGAAACCTGGTGAGTAAATAGGGTTTTCAACCCACAATAATATAATTATTATGTTTAATCATCAAATAGTTAACCCAATTACCCATCCTCATTATCTTCTTTACTCTTAAGGGTCTACCCTAAGAATCAACTACTCCTCGATACATCATTCCTAAGGATCATCCTAAGGAATTGACACGAAATCCATCGTTTCCAGGGTTTACTCAACAAGCACTAAATCCATAGATGTCAGGGCTGTTTCGTTTATAGACAATATCCACTCGCAATACATGTCAATGGGTTTTTAGAGTACACCGGTGAACACATCATTCACAACACCTACA